CAAAATGAACAAGTTAAACAAGAACTGAACATGCATTGTATCCGGTGCACTGTTGATAGCGATTGAGCCAGAGCAAGATAAAATCTCTAAACATTGATTGGCGTCCTCCTTCAACTGGCGTAAGAGCGTCAGTCGCATCAAGCTCGACTGCGATCAAAAGCGCCCGTATAAGAGCGCTTTATATTTAAACTATCGAAAGGCTGATATGACATAACTTACGTGGCACAAACACGAATGATCAATCGGTTTCCACTTGTCGCGCTTGATCTTTACCAGCCACAAGAGTTATCTTTTCAGATACTTTGGAAATATTAACATTCTAGAGCCATTTCACGAGTGGGTTTGGCACTGTGCCACGCAACGCCTGGGTGTTTTGCCCGAGAAAATGCCGCGCACGTGTCTCACTGAACCAGCCGTGACGAGACGCGGGGAACCGAGTGGCGGCCACTAATCGGAATGCGGAAATCCTCCCATCAAAAATTCAATCTACCCTGGAAGGGGATGCGTGCATCGCGGTACAATAATTATCAAAATTAGAAGTGCTAAAAGCGAACGAACCAGATGATATACCATGCCTATTTCTTGAGATATGCTGAATGGGCTTTGCAATATTTCACACTCATTTGTGAAAAATCACTGGAAACTCAATCGGGTGCCACACGACTGGTGCAGTGCGGTAATAATTCCAATGCTTAAAGGAGGAATTTGAAAGTGATAATTTACCGGTTCATTTATTTCTCTTCCATCTTTTATAAACTGTAGGAACATATGTTTGCTAAGCCCAACATTTGTTATGCATAAAATAATTCTTCACTTTACCCCTACCAGTATGAATTCCAGACGGGCCTCTAAACTATCACACAACACATATAGACAATTTATGAGATCGCTGAGGATAATATTACCTGGAAGTAGACTGGTGTAATAGCCACAACATTTACCTTGCGCATTCGATAAGTTGCCCCTATTGAGCCGAATTACGAGTTGAAGGCAGTCGTACTCAATATCACTGTTATAGACTGGATTGAAGCACACGTAACGACTTGGAACTATAGATAAGAAATAGATGTCTCTGACTTGGCGGTCTCTTTGTCGTCCCGCTGGGATCTGTCCATGGACCACTCTTATTAGAGGCGAAATTCTTTTTGCTTGGGGCAAGCCCCTCGGCGCGCCGTTACCACTAGCTTTTCAGGAGAACGCGAGTGCGAGCGATTTTGTTACGCCTTCTTTTTATTAACAGGCAGCTCAGTAAGAGCAAATCACCACGCAGATGGTCATCATGAACCACTTAGAGCTGAAGGCAATGGCATAAAACTCGCGACGCGGCTGCTATGCGGCCCCCCATAAAGCATCGCAGTGAGAGTTTGCGAGACCGAAGAACGACGCCAGCGTCAGCAGCAATCGCAAGTAAACACCAGCATTGATCTGGAGGTAGTGGCAGCGCTGACGTCTCGCGCAGGCGCAGCAAAGCAGCCTCGTAGAGCCCAAATTGGTAGCCCCCGAAGCAGAGGCGGCACAAAGCGGCTACAAGAGAACTTCAAATCCGATCGGGTGTGGGAAGCAGCAAACAAGCGCCAAAAGTTGTCGACACCGGCGGTTGGCGGCACCGACGCGCTTCAACTGCGACTTCCTCGAGCGCTCTTTTAGCCACAGCTGTAAAATATGCACCCACTGGTGCTTTGACGAAAACCATCATCACCATTGCCTCCATCGACAGGGACCAGCCCCATGTCAACGCAACCGCCGTTTCAATTTCATCGACATGCAAACGATTACACATTGTGTTTATGAAAGATTGCCTGCGACATGCGCGCTATTTTGTTCAATGAATCTCCGTAGCGGGTACTGGCAAATTGAAGTTGATGAGCGGTAGCGGGAAAAAAAGGTGTTTATAACCCGTGACGGCATTTACGAATTCAGGGTCCTCCTTTTTTGGTTCTGTTCCCCTCCAGCTGCGTTCCAGCGAATTATGGACACAGTGTTAGCTGACCTGAAGTGGCATTTGTGTTTAGTGCACTTGGAAGACGTAGTTGTTTTTTCCACGACGTTTGAAGAGCACATCGAGCAGTTTCAGGCTATACTTCATGCCGTTCATAGTGCCCGTTTATCCCTGATGCTGGAAAAGTGTCACATCAAATAGGAGGAGCTGAAATTCTTGAGCCATACTCTGAGCAATGAAGGTGTGCATCCTGACTAAAAAAAAACCACTGCCATTGTTCTGTTCCCGATGTCAAAGACAATGCAAGATGTGCGCAGATTTCTATGCATTTGTGCGCAGAGACCGCTGTTTGTGCCACACTTTTCTAAAATCGCTAAACCTTTGCAACAACTAATCAAGGACGACGTCGCCTTTATCTGGAAATCAACACAATCTGACGCTTTCCGTGAGTTTTAGCGACATCTTCAAAACCCAACTATCCTTGGTCACTTTGACACACAAGCAGATAAGGAAGTACACACTGATGCTAGCAATCTTAGTCTTTGAGCCATTCTCGTGCAGTTTCAAGATGACGTCGAACGCGTTATCGCCTATGCTATCCGCACGTTGTCTTCTACCGAAAAAAAACTGTTCAAAATCGAAAAATAAAGCCTCGCCGTCGTATGCGCTATTACGAAGTTCCGGCCATACTTGTACAGAGTTGCCTTTCCGATTAATCAGTGATCACCACTCTCTCTGCTGGTTGGCGAATCTCAAGGATCCTTCAGGTGGTTTTGTAAGTTGGAGCATTCCGCTGCAGAAATTCGACTTGACAATTGGGTGCCATTCTGGTCAGAAACACGTCAACACCGACTGCCTTTACCGTGACCCCGTCGACACCCCTACAAAGTTTTCCAACGAAGACTGCGGTTTTGTTTACAATCTAGACTCTTACAATATAACCCAAGAGCAACACGAAGACCCATAACTACAACCACTAATTCAAGACCTCGAAAAACGTCGCCCACAGCCTCTCTGTCAGTTTACGCGTGACTTGTCATCTTTCTGTCTGCGCGACCACGTCCTCTGCAAGTACAACTTTCATCCCACGCAAACCACTTCCTGCTCGTAATTTCTGCTCCTCTACGCCACGACGCTTCACGTGCATGCCACGATGAGCCATTGTCCAGGCATCTAGGCTTCACGCGCAATTTGGTGAGGATTAAACATAAGTACTACTGGTCGAAACTCGCAAAAACCGTAAAGCAGTGCGTCAAAACTTGTACTTCTTGCCAACGCCACAAACTTCCCCTTATGAATCCAGTCAGTCTCCTCCAGCCTCTGCACGTGCTTTACGAAAAGGTCGGCATGGATTCGCTCGAGCCGTTTTCTGAGTCAACAGCTAACAAATGCTGCATTGTTGTCACTACCAAATATTTGACTAGATTTTGCGAAACTGAAGCCGTTCAGCAAGCTGCTTCTTCCGATGCGGCCAACGTCTTTGTCAAAAACATCGTTTTCCGCCATGGTGCCCCAGCTGTTGCCATCACATATCGTGGTACAGCCTTCAGAGCACAGTTTCTCTGCTATTTCTTGCAACTGATTGTACCACACAATAAACAGCAAGATCACACACCCGCTGACGAATCGGTTAACCAAGCGCCTCCACAAAACAATTGCAAATATGCTTGCAATGTGTAGCCTCAGATCACAAGAATTGGGACGATGTCCTCTCATAAGGAACATTTGCCTGGAGCACAGCTCTCCAGGAAATCGCCGGATTTGTACCTTTCAGGTTCGTTTATGGCCATGATGTATGCACGATGCTTGACGTAATTCTGCCAACTCCGTCTGCCACAACCTTTTCGGTTAAAAACGTCTTCCTTCAGCGCACCGATGCAGCACTAAATCTTGCGCAGAAAAGCATTTTGTTTTGTGCAACATGCATACCGATACAACAACCATCACAGATCGGTGGCCTAGAAGATTGGTACTCTAGACTGGATTTGGATGGTAATACGACGACATGGTCGATTAGAAAAATTATTGTGCTGTTATTTGGGCCCTACCGCATTCCGCATGGCAATGGGGACGTGAACTACAAAGTTGTGCCAGCGGAGGCATTGCACCACTCTCGTACATCACATTCTTTTGACGTGGTTGACGTCACCCGGATGAAACCTTACTATTCACGCCGACTGCAAGCTACAAATATTGTGGTACCGCACTCGCAGTCAAGCCTTTGTGTCTCTTTTTGCAGCTACTTTAATTTTTCCTTTAGTAATAAAGTCGTGACCAACTTTCTCACCTCAGCTTTCATTTTTGTTTCGAGCTACGGTATCGAGCCGAAGTATTTTTTTTTCGTGGGCAAAGGGTAATATCATGCGCTAGGGATAGACGAGGCTATGAAAGAATTTGTTTAGTGTTGGGACTGAGATCAAGCAGCCGTTTGCTACGTCTTGACCCTTTTCATCGTTTCCTTTCGCGACAATAAGATGATTGGACAAATGCTTCATGGTTTCTTCGATAATCATTGCATCTTCGCCCCACTAATCATTATTAACATTGATCAGCTGGCGGAATTTGTTTTCATATATATCAATAAATTCCTGCAAGTAAGGAGCCAGGTGTGCAATTTAAACTGTGCGAAGATGACTATTCTATTCTACAGTGCGAAACAAGGAAGACCAAGTTGAAATTATAGATCTTGACAGGCATTGAGCGAATGGCGTAAGAAGTGTAAAAGAAAATGATTATTCTAAATTCTACAATCATATATCGGTACAAAGAAGTTGCGTCTATCAATTTCTAATACCATTGGAGACAAGTGTTGATAAATACTATGGAATTGAAATATCTACAATTACCCATAACGCAAAAGTTTTCGTGGTGCCTACACATACGCAATGTCTGTTGTTCTAAGGCATACGGGGGAGGGCTAAGATTTTTGCGAAAAAAGCTTGAGGATGCAACGGCTCATGCGAGACTTACTGCTTACAAAGCCTTTGTAACACCAGTTCTTGAGTACGCGTCGGTGATATAAAGCCCTCATAAAAATTTTAAAAGAAACAATTGGACGAAATTCAGAAGTATGTAATGCAATTTATTTGCTCCCGGTATAGAAGGGCAGAGTTCACCACACAAACGCTCTGTACTTCTTACCTGCAGTTGATAGAAACGCGGAAGCAGAAAAACTCCTATGGAGTTATTAGTTTAAATTCTAAATTGTCAACAAAATGATAACACAGAAGTATACTTAGTGTCACCAAATAAACAAAGCTCAAGAACTAACCACACTACGTTAATCCAAACGTACATCACTCGCACCAATCGGTTCCGTCTCTCCTTCTTTGCTGCTGTATTTGAAGTGTAGAATGCATTGAAGATGTGAGTTTTTCAACAAAAGAATTTGTCTGAATATGAACAGACCTTAGGTGAATATCAAGGTAAAGGGTTACTAGTGTACCACTTTATAGTGTTCAGGCCTGTATTAGTGAATCCTAAATGCATGATGTCCCTTCTCTCTTTTTTACAGAACCGTCTCTGTGAGCTATCTCCGAAGAGGGTTGACTGTATTGCGAAATAATAAGAATAATAACTTGTGCAGCTTCTCTGAAGGCTCAATACCAGCAAAAGAATAGGGAGCGATTAGAGAAAAAAAATTATTGAGCAGGTTCCAAAACCGATGTTTCGGTGTGTGGGCTAGTATTCTTTGAGACAGAAACTGCCTTAGCTGTATCCTTGTAAACTTCGCTCACTCTCCCTCATATCCAAGTTTGGAGGAGGGGAAAGAAAAACGTGCAATAAAGGACATTGTGGAAAACAGAGGGTAGTGGGAGAATGTGATGCGCTTGCCTGCCCCTTTTTGAAGCTAAGAGAGAGTGACAGAAAGCTAGGAAAGGCATCAGCTGTCCCAAAGAAGAGAGCACTGCTAAAGCAAAATAAACACTCCAGAAAGGAAGAGGGTAAAACAATATATTGAGGTGAATCACTTAGTTCGACGTGCGCTTGAAGTCGCTCTTGGATCAAGTCTAATTCAGCTATCTATCACTTAGTGGGCTTCTTTCACCACTTTCGTGAAAATTCTCCTCTATGCCTTGTAGCGTTCGTTTCAGTGGGCACCTAGGATTTCCCTCGTAGGTTGTCTGTCATCGTGCTGCGTATGTCTCGCTTGGAGATCTTCCCCACGCTGGTCCGAGGGAAGTCATCGACGATCTCAAAGTACCTTGGCACTTTCAGGCTGTTCACCTGCACCAGCAGAAGTCCCACGATAACTATGTTTTGACACAAGATAAAGCAGAAGCAGTGAAGCCAAGACACAAGTCGCTTGATTCATAATTGGCGTTTAAATTCCCGAAACATCTATAACATTACGAGAGACGCCTTAGTGGTGGGCTCCAAAAATTTCCACCACCTGGAGTTCTTTAACGTGCACCAAAATGTGAGCAAACAGGCCTACAGCATTTTCGCCTCCGTAGAAAATGCAGGCGCAGCAGCCAGGATTCGACCCTGCGAGCTGCGCGTCAGCAGCCGAGTACTTTAGCCACTACACCATCGAGACGTATGTTACCATACAGCGTGTAAGAAGAAAGCATAATAACAACGCACGTTGTATTATCACACACGGAGGCTTATTTGCCTACCTAAAAAGTATTCTATTGAGAACACAACTAAGCTCACACCTACTGGGGAGTCCACAGGCTGATGACTGCTATGTACACCTAAAGAGGGCCGTAATTCGACGGTTTTCACCTTATGAAAAAAAAGTGTGTGAACTGTTTGAGCAAGAAGAGGTCGGTGACGACAGGTCATTGCAACTTTGTGCTATGTGCACTCGCGGCCTGCGAGCCTCTTGACCACTGCATCTTCAAAATAATCTGGTTTTATTATTTACCTACTTACACAGCGGCCCTCATCAAAGTTCTTACACATAACAGTGCAAAAAAATAGACAACGCGCACAGAAAAGACGAGGACTAGTGAAGCAAGGTTTGGCAGAATCTGCCACAAGATCAGCTCGCCGAACTCACACACGGAGTCACCGAGGCCTCTCCACCACCACGTCTTTCACTCTGAGAAAAAAAGTCAAAAGAGCCTTAGAGCACCCTGATCTCTTCGGGTATCCGTTTTTGGAAGGTAAAAGCAAAAAAAAAAGTGTTAGCCTTTTGCAGTCATAGTGCTCTCGCAAATTGCATTTCAATTGGCTTCTGTGATCAAGGTGCCATCGCATAAGCTACCCAAGCATCGCTTAGTGGCACTGTGATTCTGGGAAGGCAGCGCCATCTCTGGCATAAAATTAAAACTGCGCAAAGAAGTCGCGTATAAATCCTTCTCTCAGCTCCACTGCCCCTTGCTTCCGCACACGTTAAGAGGTCTCACACTGTATTTTCAGCACCGTGCAATTTGCCACCAGAAAAAAATTATCTCCCAGTTGGGCAGTCACTTCGAAAATCAATTTTAATCAAAGCACAATAGTTTGTTAATAACATTTACGATGTGAAGCAGACTACAGACGACTATGACGCCCAACTAAACACGGAATACGTTTCTGAAGTCTGTGACATTGCCCTGTGAGACAGTATACGCCGCGGTTCGCTTCATTCTGTCATACAATAAATACGCCCAATGGTCTACATGAACCACGAACTGAAGCTACGCACTCGATCGACGTTCTGCACTGTCGGCTATGAAAAAAAGTTTGTCGCTTCAATGTGCTTGTTAGCAGTAGCAGACGCGTATTGTCGTGAAGGAACCTGTCTTGGGAACTAAAAGCCATATAAGGTTAGCCTCATGCCTTCCGTACCGCTCAGGCATCACGGGATGACTAGCTTAAGGTTGCTCCGAAGCTGGACTGTTCGCCTCCTGTTCCTTTTTGCCTCACCGCGGTGGTCTAGTGGCTAATGTACTCGGCTACTGACTCGCAGGTCGCGGGTTCAAATCCCGGCTGCGGTGGCTGCAATTGCGATGGAGGCGGAAATGTTGTACACCCTGTGTGCTCATATTTGGGTGCACGTTAAAGAAGCGCAAGTCGTCGAAATTTCCGGAGCCCTCCGCTACAGCGTCTCTCATAATCATATGGTGGTTTCAGGACGTTAAACCCTACATATCAATCAATCAATCTATTTCTTTTTAAATGCAAAGCATTTCTTAGCGAACTTCGGCGACTTTGAGTGTATCTATCTATCTATCTATCTATCTATCTATCTATCTATCTATCTATCTATCTATCTATTTATCTATCTATCTATTTGTCTGTCTGCCTGTCTGTCTGTCTATCTGTCTAGCCGCCTACGAATTTTAGCTCTCCAGGCCATTTGAATAACGGTATCAATACCAAGCTTGGTATGGCATAACAAGACTGTATTGCGTGCATATTTGACTAGTCATAACATGAAAATCAAGACATGTAGGGCATGAATATGATGATTTACGTTTCATAGTCTTGCTGCTTTTGCGGCGCTTTCGTTAACAGGACAAGTTGCAGAACTGGTTTGGTATGACATGATTGCGGGACCAACACAAGCGACAGACCCTAACATAAAAATCCTGACTTGCATGTCATGTAACAACATGACTACAAGCCACGCTCATGATGTGCTCTCGGACATTTCGCTAGTATCACTTATACCGAAGTTGGTAATACGGTACGTGAATGGATGACGAATGTATGTGACTGGTGCAAACATGATATTCATGAGACGCTTGTCATGTAACAACATGACTACATGCCACGCTCATGATGCACTCGCGGCCATTTCGCTAGCTTCACATATACCGAAGTCGGTAATAGATGACGTGAACGGACGATATAGGGAAATGACACATCCAAACATAATAATCACGCATGCATGTCATTGCAACATTATTACATGCCACATACATCATACGCTCGCGGCTGTTTCGCTAGCCTCATGAATGCCAAACTTGGTATTACGTGGCGTCTATGGATGTCGTATGACCGGTGCAAACATGGTAATCATGAGATGCGAGTCATGTGAGTAAATGACTACATGCCACAGTCAAGGCGCGAAAACACTTCTATGCGACCCGGCATGTGTGCGTGCCGGCGTTCATTTCGTCACGTCACGCCGGCGTTGCCAAGCCAGGCGCCGGTCATGCCATATACTCGCAGGCGCATGCCGCATTGCTTTTCTTTGACGTATGCGCATTCCAGCGCGTCAATTGTTTCTCCGTCTCGAAAATAGGCACTGTTTCTCAACTCTCAAACTTTTTAACCAACAACCCCCCCTCGAAAATAGGCAAACTCAGTGCAGTCTGTATGAAGTGTCGGCGTGGAATGCAGCCTAACAGCAACTGGCGCAGTTCGCGCCGGTTGCTGTCGGGCAGCGCCGATGGCGCTGGTCGCGCCGGTCGCGCCTGCGTCAGACTATAGAGTGCTCGTGTTTTGCTAACGTAGCGTTCCTGGGCCCAGCGTGTGGGTGCGCCAACTGTACGTTGGAGTATAATGGGCCCTTCATGATGCACTCGAGGCCGTTTCGTGGCTCCACATATACCAAACTTTGTGTTACGTGATGTAAGTGAATGACCGAAAGTATATGACTGGTGCAAACATTATAATCATGAGACTCGTGTTATGTGCGCACATGACAACATACCACACTCATAGCGTGCTAGCGGCCGTTTCGCAAGCCCCACATACACTTGATGTGGCATCAGGTGACGTGAATAGATGACAAAGGTAAAGGACAAATCCAAAAGTGATAACCATGACACGGAAGTCATGTACGGCATAATTTACATCCACCTCGTAACGGTGTAGTGATTTGAGAGTGACATATCAAAATTCCTCATTCATGCTTCGCATATTATCGATATTCACTCTATGTGGGATCTGCCAGTTTTTTTTTTTTTGCTCTTCGGCATAGAAATAATTTTATAGATACGTCCTGTACAGGGTTTTGGCATCTGCCGGCAAATGCCAGGGCTAAGTGAACCACGTTCTCAGATAATATATGCTCTAGCATGCATACTTCTGCATGCCTTGCAAACACCATTCAAATATTTTATATCGCATCACACATTTACCGGTGATGTGATTAATAAGAATGCGTGTAGCTGTCTTAGTGTGACCGCTTGATATTTCATTTAGGTTGTGCGACAGCAGGTCTATGTAGCCGACAGTTTTTTCTCTCGTTCACATGTTTCTTGGCTGCTTTCACGGTTACTGGCTTTTCGCAATTCATTCAATATTCCTTCAGCGACTGAGATCAAAAGCTGTCTGAAATAACCATCATCCTGAATACGCAAAGACTGCTGGCTGATCACTTCGTGGGTACAGTAAATGCACAATTTTTCCAGTGCGTTGCTGAAACACGTTTTACAGCGAAAGCTGATAATTGATCACCACTCGGGTCACACGCAGATGCATTTTGTCCGCCGCCGCTACCACTGGTGTCCGCGACCACACTATCATTGGACTAATGACACAGTGGGGCTTGAACACGGGTCTGCTGGGTGCCAGCCCAATATTCTACAACTGAGCTACGCCGGTGCTTGTAACTTGTCAATCTTCCCTTAGGCAGACATGACCTATCACGAATGGCACAGTGGGGCTCGAACCCGGGTCCACTGAGTGCCAGCCCAGTATTCTACCACTGAGCTGCTCCGGTGCTCGAGACTTGTCAACTTTCCTTAGGCAAGCTTGATGCAGGGAAAGCAATCGCGTTAATACGACTCAAAAAGCGTTTTCCAACACCGAAAGAACAACCAGTTGTCACACAATGCTATTAGCGTAACGAGTGAGTCGTCCAATGCTCCAACCGATTACAAAAGCTTGTTCTTGTTTTCCTATCAACTGTGGTGCATTTCCACTTCAGTCATAATTCTTCATAGTCGTCAGTCACAAATGGCATGAAATTTTTAGCAAGTGTTTAGCGGATACTAGGCTTCTCAGAAGAATGACAATAAATAACCTAGAGAAAACCGGTCTACTACAGAAACGTTTATTATAGTGCCCTAGTCGGTTCCAAAAGTGTGCTTGCAGTTGTTAATCAATAGGTATTTTGAAAAGGCTCCGAAAAGCCGCTCTTCAAGGTTTCGCTGTGACTGTACTGCGCATACTGCGCCGGACTTCACAACTCTTCTTCTAAACAACTTTGAATGGGCTGAGTGACACAATAACAATGATTTATATGTCCTGGCACTGTCGCACCAGCATGACAAGTCATCACTGAAAGTAAAATGAACATCTAAAAACCTAGCACTTCTTTGTACGGCAACCTCGAATGT